CCTCCCCCACACAGCCGGTCACTCTCTGGTGGTTTTGGGTCACTGGTTTTTACATTTAGTCTATCATTGAGAGTTGTTATCTGCAGGAGGACTGGTTCAGTAGGAGCCGTGCAGTCATGGCCAGAAGCAGAACCTCAAAAAAGAGCAAACCAGGGGCGCCTGGGTGGCTCAGATGGTTGAGCGTCTACCTTCGGTTCAGGTCATGATCTCAGGGTCCTGGGATGGAGTCCCACATCGGGCTCCCTGCTAAGCAGGAAGTCTGCTTCTCCCTCTGCCTCTCTCTCTGCCTCTCCTCCCTTGCTCATATGCTCTCTCTTTCTCTCGAATGAATAAATAAAATCTTTTTAAAAAAGAAAGAGAGCAATCCAAAAACAATAAAGATCTTGGAAATTAAAAACGTGATGACAGAAATAAAAATTTCAAAAGAAGGATAAAAGATAACATTGAGACGATTTTCCAGAGTATTGAGAAAAAGAGATGCAAAATTAGAGAAAATAAGAAAATCATGCAGTAGGTTCAGGAGGCCCAACATCTTAGTAACAAAACCCCAGCAGGAGGAAAAAAGAATAATTCAAGACCATTTCCCAGAATTGAGGGGCGCCTGGGTGGCTCAGTCATTAAGCGGCTACCTTCAGCTCAGGTCATGATCCCAGGGTCCCGGGATTGAGCCCCGCATCGGGCTCCCTGCTCGGCGGGAAGCCTGCTTCTCCCTCTGCCACTCCCCCTGCTTGTGTTCCCTCTCTCGCTGTGTCTCTCTCTGTCAAATAAATAAATAAAATCTTTAAAAAAGAAAAGACCATTTCCCAGAATTGAGATTCGCATCTCCAGATTGAAAGAGCCTGTCAAGTGGGCAGCACAACAGTGAAAATCCCTCATAACAAGGCATGAGATCGCAGAGCACTAGGCCAAGGCAAAGACCCTCCATGCCTTACAAGAGGAAAGACCAGATTGCATTTCAAAGGATCAAGAATCAGTTTGACATCTGACTTCTCAGCAGGAACCCTGGAAGGTAGACCTGCACATTTCTGAATAAAAATTATTTCCTACCTCAATTGTGTGCCCATCCACTCTCAATGAAGAGTGAGTGCAGACCACAGATATTACAGACAGGCAAAGTCTCAAAAACTATCTTCTACTATGTCTCCTTTTCTCAGGAAGGAAAGGATGTAAACCAACAGAGGGGGAGATGTGGGATTCCACAGCAGGAGAAGAGAGGGCTCAGGAAGACAGCACACCCCTAGTCTGCAAGGGGGTAGGACAGAAGCTCTGGGGAGAGGCCACCGGGAAGGTGAAACACCTGAATGTGTGGAAGTACCAAGGGGAGGGCTGGATAATTGGAGGAGATTTTAGGGATATGTTAGTGATAAAGGCAGAGAAAACTAAGCAAATAAACAAAAAGGCGATTTTTAACTCCAGTAAAAAAAAAAGTTGTATGTGAAGGACACATAAACATAGTATACCACATGATCCAGCTGCGGGTAGTGTTTACTTGGTCATATTGATGTAAAATTGGACTTTGATCTATAGCTAAAATGGCAAATGACTATACTCTGTGCGTGTGTGTGTGTGTGTGTAAGGGAGAGAGAGAGGCATGTGGGGTATGTCAATGAAAGAGAACTACATTTTCACCTTCCACAGTGGGAATTTGATTAATGCCTAAACCTAAAAATTCAGGAAGTAGGAATACAAGTATGTTGTTTACAAATTTGGAGATACATAGCAGAAGAAATACAGAAAAGATGAAAATGGGCGCACAGCACTGTGGTGGGGTGTGGATCAGGTCCTGTCATTTTCCATATTAAGTCTCTGACACTTGAAACCATGTGCATCTATGACTAATGAAAACAAAATCGAAGTATAGTTTTAAAAACTCATAAGGTGCTTGGGGCGCCTGGCCAACTCAGTTGGTGGAACATGCGATTCTTTTTTTTTTTGGAAAGTTTATTGAGCAATAGTACAAAGCTCCTGAAGAGGAGGGGAACCAAGATGGTTGACCAAGCATGCAATTCTTGATCTAAGGGTGGTGAGTTCAAGCCCTATGTTGGGTGTAGAGATTACTTAAATTAAAAACAAAACAAAACAAAACAAAAAACCTTATAGAGTGCTTAAAAAGACCATGAGGAATGAATTCTTTTAAATTTATGAAAACTTATTTTTTATTGTGGACCTAAAAAATAAGTACATGAGGACAATTTGTAAATCAAAGGAGCCAACCCAAGTCAGTGAGTTAATCTCCTAAAGGTTAAAAATGAAAAACCTGTCCAGCCTGTGAATGGTGAGAGCTCTCTCTTACTGTCTGGAAACAGACATGCCAAAGCCCACGTTCTCTCTAGATTCAAAAATAGATTCCCAAGTGTACTTATTTGTTGCTTCACCTAGATGGCATAAAACCTTTAGTGTTCCAATGGAAAAATTAAATATTTCCAAAATTAACTTTGAAGTTGCTCTCTGTATATGTTTTTATGTGTTTATATATGTTTAATTATATGTGTATATATTCTACTTACTTATGTGATTATACATTCTATTATATATTATATTTAATATATGTGTGTATACATATTCTATTCTAGGCATATATATTCTATTTTATTTTTTATTTCTTTTTAATTTTTTTGAAGATTTTATTTTATTTATTTAATACTTTATTTATTTATTTGACAGAAAGAGAGAGAACGCAAGAGAGGGAACACAAGCAGGGGGAGTGGTAGAGGGAGAAGCAGGCTTCCCATCGAGCAGGGAGCCCGATGCGGGGCTCGATCCCAGGACCCGCGGGACCATGACCTGAGCTGAAGGCAGACGCTTAACGACTGAGCCACCCAGGCACCCCTTTTTATTTATTTTTTTAAATAAATTTTTATTCATTCACTTGAGAGAGACAGAGAATGAGAGATAGAGAGCACGAGAGGGAAGAGGGTCAGAGGGAGAAGCAGACTCCCCGCCGAGCAGGGAGCCCGATGTGGGACTCAATCCCGGGACTCCAGGATCATGACCTGAGCCGAAGGCAGTCGCTCAACCAACTGAGCCACCCAGGCGCCCTATATATTCTATTTTATTGCATGTGTCCCTCACATCATATATGCCCAAAGCTGACTGCTGCAAAAGGAAGAATATAGGCATTTGAAGTTGCTTTCCAGATAGTTCCATGGGATTTTAAAGGGCTGTGAAGAGGCCCTTGGTTGGTCATTCCAAAGAGTAATTTCACAGAGCCTGAATGTACTGACCTAAGCAGTTTCCAGAATATCTATGCTCTGCCCTAAAACCTTGGGCAATGTGCCCTCAGAATGAGAAGCAAATTTGTTGTCACCTTCCGCCATGCAGACTGTATTGCCCTCAACCTACTTTAAAGACAGAAGGGTTGATGAATATGGTGTTCTTTTTCTTGTGGCTTTCATGGGTGTGGGGTAGCTAAGTCTAAGCACTGTAGATCCACCAAGGTAGCACAGCGAAGCTACTTGGAAATGGCACCTTCTTTAGCACTGCGTTTGGGGAGCTTGCTTTCTGAGCCTTGGGTGTGGGGGTTTTTCTTTTGGTAGAGAGCTGCTAAGATTTCACACCCATTCCAGGACTTTCTCAGGGTGAGGCTCCCATGGAGGGGCTCCTCTCTCTTCTCCTGCCTGCCCCCCAGAAGCACATTCCACTTTAGATTTGTAACTCTTAATCCAGCTTTCCTTGTCAAGATATGCCACATCCCAGAACCTTTTCAAGGCTGGTCTTCTCGAGGTTTGCATGCTTTGAGAGACATTCCTAAGTCTAAAAATGAGATAAATCAAGCACCACAGAGCCTGGTGGTGTGGTGTTACTAAGCGGTTTGGATGCTTGTGATCATAAATTGTGTTGCATCTGTTTTTTGGAAGGGAGTACTCCTTTCTTGTTTTCTCTGGTTACTTAATGGAAACTGTCTTTCACCGGCAACTTGCTCTGTGAACACAGGAGTGGTTTCTCAAAGAAGTAGAAAATTGGTTTCCGGTGGAATGGGGAGGAATATTTTTCTTTTTTAAAAATATTTATTGCTTTTTTTTATTTTAGAAAAAAAAATGCATGGGGGCGCCTGGGTGGCTCAGTTGGTTAAGTGACTCTTCGGCTCAGGTCATGATCCCGGAGTCCCGGGATCGAGTCCCACATCGGGCTCCCTGCTCGGCGGGGAGTCTGCTTCTCCCTCTGACCCTCTTCCCTCTCGTGCTCTCTCTCTACCATTCTCTCTCTCTCTCAAATAAATAAATAAATTAATTAATTAATTAATAAATCTTTTTAAAAAAAGAAAAAAATGCATGCTCATTGAAGAAATTTAAAATAGGGGAAGGTTGGGGTAAACAAAGTAAACAAAACCCAGAAATTTCCAGTTGTAACGTGGGGCTGGTCCTCACTGTTGCCCCCCACCATGCACATACACTCACAAATACACACGTGTATTTTCTTTAGTTAGTTGAGGTAATGCTTCATATCTCATTTTATATGTGACACATTTTACTTTACATTCTTAGTGTGATAATTTGGGGAAATGATCTCAGTGTTTTAGCCTGGGATTCGAGCTTAGGTGCAACAGCCCCAGGACAGGAGGGGGGGGCAGCGAGGGTCACAGAGACAAGGGGGCGGGACATGGGGCTGCCCAGAGCTGCCTGCAAACAGGGGGCCTGATGCCGAACAGTTTAGGGGCCAAAGTCCAAGTCCGCGTCAGCTGGCTGCCGCTGCCCACCCCTCAGGTGGCAGGCAGCAGCCAGGGAAGCCCAGGCCTTGGGGAGGCCAGGAGGCCGAGGCAACTGGTGCCGAGTGAGGAGAGGAAGGTCGGAGGCCCCACAGAGTGAGCAGTGGGGCTGGTGGGCCGGGCCCACACGAACCCAGGGAGACCCAAAGCAAGGTCCAGTCTGCCTACCTCAAAAACTGCGACTCTGCCCTCGTGAGAGGTGCTCTCTACCCCCGGGAGACTTCTCTCTGGTGCCATTTGCTTGAGCATAGCTGTGAGGCCCATAGCACTTAAGCTGCCCGCACCCCTTCCACAGGCATCGACTACAAGACCACCACCATCCTGCTGGACGGCCGGAGGGTGAAGCTGCAGCTCTGGTGAGTCGGGGCCCACCCCGGGCTCTAGGCAGGACGCGCGGCCCCAGGAGGAGAGGCTGTACCAGCACTGTCCTGTTGGAGGAGCACCCCCTCCGGCCCCAGCAGACGCAGGGCTGCCCAGAGGAGGTGGAGATCCGCTTGTCTGGGCCACCGAGGCTTCATCCACGGGCGGGAACGCTGGGGCCTTTGTGGGTCCCTGGGGGTCTGTCCAGAGCATGGCTTCACTGAAACCCTCTGCCTCCCCAGCACCAGGAGGGGCCCATGAGTGGGATGGGGACAGACCCACGGCAGGTGTGGGAGGGTGGGAGCAGAAGGCCCTGGCCCGGGGTCTGGACAGGGGTCTCTTTCCCATGGCCTCCCCTGGCAGCCCTGGCTCTGAGGTCGGGTCACACTCCCCTGCCTCTGCCCCTCCTGCTCCGGGTGGGGCTGGGGAGTGGGAGAATTGGGGTTTCCTGCTTCGACTGCCCCCATGCAACGTGCCTGACTACTGTCCCCGGCCCCTGTGTCATCCCTTCTCCTGGGCCACCTGCATGGCCCTCTTCTCTGCCCAAACATGCCTAAGCCCCAAGCCACACGAGCCTCCCCTAACTGGAAGCCTGTCCTCCTGCCATCCCCACCTGCCCCTTCCCAGGGGCAGTCAGCAGGGAGCCTTTCTCCACAATGTCCCGTTAGCACCCTGTGCCTTCCCACTGCCTGCCCCCCGCCCCAGGATGTTTGAGGTTGTGGGTTAGGCCCACCAGCAGCCTGTGTCCTCTGGGCTGCCCGCTGCTGTGGGGCATTCTGTTCTCACCAGCTGTCCTCAGATTCCTGCGTGCTCTGCCCGGCAACCTCTGCCCAGCCCTGAGGCCTGCAGGGCCCAGGGCTTATCTCGTCCTGACTGCCCCCCTCCCTGAGACCGTCCGAGGGCCCCCCTCTCAGCCCATGCTTGCCCTGGCCTCCAAAGGCTGTCCCACATCTCCCCTGGGCAGCAACAAGTCTCCTGATTGCGTGTTTCATCTTGTGAATGCCGTCATGTGCCCACCCCCTCCGTTGCTCCTGCCACACCCTGGGGTTATCCACAACACCCCACGTCCAGGGACGTTCCCACTTCATGATAGCCACCAGTCTCCCATGAAAGCTAGTGATTCATGCCCCAGGGCTGCTCTCCTCCTGTGCCTCCTTGGCCACAAACTTCCTAGCCACTTCCATCTGCAGGCAAAGCGGAAACTCTGTAGCGGCTGAGCTGCGAGTTCTCCATCGATTTGCTCCTCGACACTGAGGAGCTCCTCCTCCCGTCTTGGGCCATGGTCAGCACCTCTGGCTCTCCTGAGCCCCAGGCCCTGCCCTCCCTCATGGTGGCTCATCTAGGACTCAGAAAGCAGGGGCAGGTCACCACCTGCAGGTGACGAGGAGAAAAGAGAGAAGTTGCGCTGTTTGTAGTGAGGATGTGGTTGGACCTGCAGTCCCACCCTCATCCCTGTGGAGGATCCCCTGTGGACGTGGGCGTGTTCATCAGACACGCGGATGTGTGTTGACCTTACAAGAGATGCCAGGGGTCAGCACCCACGGGTCCTCAGAGCCGCTGCCGTGAGAACAGGCTGCTGGAATCCATCCCACGGGAATGTTGTTTTTCTTTATCCTGATTTATGGCGCTTGGAGCTCCATTCCGGTCATTCCAGGTGTCCGCACCCTCTGGGTCAGTTCTTTGTTTTGATAAACTTAGGGATGTATCTGTAGTGGGATGGCCACTGACTGACAGTTGTAAAATGTGTTTGCTACGGCTCCCAAGTTCCAAACCCTGTTGTCAGGAAGAAGCAGTGATTTCTTCTCAATGGCCTCCATCATCTTTTCCAGGGATACATCCGGGCAGGGAAGATTTTGTACCATATTCCGCTCCTACTCTCGGGGCGCACAGGTAACATGCCCTGAGCCAGGAAGTTAACTGACTGAATAATAACATTTGGAATGTTCTTAAATGGATACCTGGAGGAGAAGGCAATTAAGCTCATATATGAATTGATGCAAGAGGCTGAAAGTGTGCCAAGGAATGTCTGGTGGCTCACAAGCCTTCAGCATCAGGGATGAGCACCTGTGTGCGTGTGGATGCATGTGTTATGTCTGCATGCACGTGGGCCTGCGTGCACGCGTGTGTCTGTGTGTGTCTGCGCATACATATGCATGCAGCAGGGCTGTGTGTGCACCGTTGTTCACGTGATTGTGTGTGTGTGCCGTGCATGTTCAGGAGAGCACTCTGTCCAGGTGGGCGGGCCCTGCTCTTAGGAAGGAGGTGATCCCTGCAGGCTCTCCACATGCCGTGTCTCTAGAGCAGCTTGTGGATGTGGGGGATTGAGTCCCCAACTCACCTTGACATTTGAGGGTTGACTAATGAGCTCATGAAATATCATTAGGAATACTTATTTAACTATGACATTTGGTAGATAAACAAAAATAATATGTTTTCTGTTAAAATAAGTAAAATGGTCATTTAGCTGGTTGTGAGTCCGTGACGAAGTATCCTGCACACTGGCCAGCACGGTCCAGGGCTGTGTCCGCCTCTGTCCCGTAAGGTAAGCCTGGTGCCTCTCCCCCCAGGGTGTGATCCTGGTCTATGACATCGCAAACCGCTGGTCCTTTGATGGCATCGACCGGTGGATTAAGGAGATAGACGAGGTACGACATGGTGTGCCAGGCACCGTCCACATGGGTGTGTGGGGGTGTCAGGCATGTGGGCCAGGACACGAGGCTTCCGCAGCACGAGGCTGTGTCGCCTCCCAGAACAGGACTGGGCCCTAACTTGGAGACCCACCCAGCCCCGGGGGTCGGGGCCGCATACCACCTGCTGTGTGGAGTGGGTTGGCGGGTGGCGTTTGGGCTGCTGCCCGCCGGCACCCGCAGCCGCCCGACTGCCACTGTGGACACGAAGTGGTCAGAACCACACGCACGGTGTCAGTTTCCTGCAGCCTGCTGAAACACGTGGCCGTAAACAGCAAGAATGTACGCTCTCACCGTTTGGAGGCCAGAAGTCCAAAATGTAGCGTCAGCAGGGTCGGCTCCCTCCAAAGGCTCTAGAGGAGGATCCTTCCTGCCTTCTCCAGCTTCGGGGGTGCTGCCGGCAGTCCTTGGCCTATAGACCCATCCAGTGCCTGCCTCTGCCCGCACGTGACTCTTCCACTGTGACTTCTGTGTCCTCTCCTCTTCTTACAAGGACACCAGTGACTGGATTGAGGGCCCACCCCAGTGACCTCATCTTAACTAATTATATTCTGGAAAGGTCCTATTTCCAATAAGGACACATTCTGAGGTTCTGGGTGGGCATGAACTGGGGGAGGATTTACCCTGTACACCCAAGGTGCGAGCAGCCACAAAAGCTCACCAAGTAACCCCCTTGCCTTTCTCTAACCCTTCAGCACGCCCCTGGCGTCCCTAAAATCCTGGTGGGAAACCGCCTGCATCTGGCCTTCAAGCGGCAGGTCCCCACGGAGCAGGCACAGGCCTACGCGGAGCGCCTGGGAGTCACATTCTTCGAGGTCAGTCCTCTGTGCAACTTCAACATCACCGAGTCCTTCACGGAGCTGGCCAGGACCGTGCTGCTGAGACACGGGATGGACCGGCTCTGGAGGCCGAGCAAGGGTAGGCACCAGTCAGGCCGTCCTACAGCCCCCAGACCCTGGTCTGCCTCCCAGGATCCGCCTTAAGCCACCATGTCCATCCTCAGAGTAAATGCATTTAATCTGAGAGGGATCACTATTAATAGTTTTGTCAGAAAGTTCACGAGAGGCATTTCTGAGGTCTGTGTGTGGGCAGAGGTGGAGGCATGTGCAAACAGGCTTGTGCAGTGGGAAGGGGGCAGCACCTCCCCACCCAGAGCAGGACCCCCTGAGGGCCGGCTGGCCAGGTTTCACCCCATGGTTTTGGGAAGCACATATCGTGTCAGGAATGATTCACTTCCAACTCTTTTTATTTTTTCTTTGCAAAGAGGGGAACCTGAGAAACAGAAGCGCCTCGAGCATAGTGGGCACCCTATAACCTGAGGTTGGAATACTGTTCAGATCCCTCGGTGTTAATCTGTCCAAAGACCCGTGTCCTCTGATGCCATCTACTTTGTGGGGCCTTTACGGTGACAGTCCCTGTCACGGATTTCCTCGCAACCTGGCCTCATATGACTGTTACAAGACAAAAGGACAAAACCTATAGTCATTGAACTGGGCGGCATAGGGAGCCAAACTGGATTCTTCTCAGTTAGGGATTCTCCAACTCAGCAGTGCTGCTGGCTTCGACACGGCTGTTTGCTCTGGGGGGACATTCAGTGTGCTCTGCCCTCTGCCCCCTGCCCCCCAGCAGTGGAAACCACAAGTGTCCCGGGGGGTCAAAACCACCCCCAGCTGAGGGCCACTGCATGGAGAGAGCTCTCTACTGAGACCCCCGGGCCTGACCCCTCAGGGGCTGCCCCACGAGTGCCGCCCTCATCAGGTCCCACAGGGCCCCATCCCGGGGAGCCTGACTCACATGAGGAATAGTGTAGATGAGACCGAAGCACTTGCTTCTCAGGCGTGTCCCCATAGAGCTGGTCACACGTGCTTCTGATGTCAGCGGTGTGGTTGGGAAGGTCATCCCTGACACCCTCGGTCTCTCACCCCAAACCGCAGTCGGGTGAGGCCTGCAGGAGGACCTCACCAGCCACCGTCTCCCCTCCAGGTCTGCCCCAGGGGTAGGGGTCTCTAGTCCAAGGCGACTAAAGCAGGGTGGCCCACCTCCGGCCCTTCCCAGGGCCATGCGAGGGCCCGGTGGGTGGAGTGCTCAGCCCAAGTCCTGGGGAAGGAAGGTGGGGGGGCGAGCGGGCTGCCCTGCGGTCGGCGTGTGTCCAGGACAATGTGAACTAAGCCCGGTTTCCTCTCCTTCCCAAGTGCTGAGCCTGCAGGACCTGTGCTGCCGCGCGGTGGTGTCCTGCACGCCCGTGCACCTGGTGGACAAGCTCCCGCTGCCCATGGCCTTGAGGAGCCACCTCAAATCCTTCTCCATGGCCACCGGCCTGAACGCCAGGATGATGCATGGCCGCTCCTACTCCCTCACCACCAGCTCCACCCACAAGAGGAGCGGCCTCCGCAAGGTGAAGGCCACCCGCCCACCCCAGAGCCCGCCCAGGCGCTGCCCCAGGAACAGCTGCAAAGTCTCCTGAAGAAGGCGCCCGAGCCCAGACGCCGGCCCCTCCAGGAGAGATGCCAAGCAGTCCCACGCGGGGCGGACGCGGGACAGACGCGGGAGCCCATTCCAGGCCCAGGGAAGCACCTGTCGGTCTCTCACGCTGAGATCTCTCACGCTGAGATCTCTCACGGTGCCCGAGCCTCTCCGTGCAGTGAAAACCCAGCCTGACTGACGTTTCTCCGTGGATGTGCATGAAGCTCTTGTTTTCAACGTGTGTTTGTCCAGGGGGAATGGCCGTCTGCTCAGCTCCGGATGACGCGAGATTCCAGATGACGGCAGCTCGGCCTTCCCCTGCCACAGCTGCTTTCATGAGAGCGCAGCACGTGCCTGATGAGTGTGAACCCCGGGGACTCTGGCGAGAGCAGCGGGACAGAGAAATGTCCTCGACCTCACAAGAGGGCCTTTTTGTAAACCTCCTCTTCACATCGAAGTGCTAGTTTACGAGCACGGGGGAGATCGGGAGATTATGCAGGGCGGGTCTGACACGAATTTGATAAAGTTTTTGCTATGTTATTTATCCTGTTTGGGGATCAATAAGTGATTTATATGCATATTTTTCTGTAAATCTACATTTTTTTTGTACACGATGTCCCACAAGTTACGAAGCAAAGGGAAGACAATGCCAAAGATATCTCTAGTTGTCGAACGGCCACAACATAGTTACGTCAGATCCAGATGGGCGAGGAAATTATCATCCGGAGCCGTTTCGGTAAGGAAAGAAGTGGACGCTGTTATTTAAGAGAATGTTTCTCGACAATAAAACGTATACTTGTTTCTTGGTAGGACTGTTGGCTGGTTCTTTCTGATTCCGTATGTTCACATAGCCCTTTATTTCATTTGCTTCATCACCTGTGTCCTGAACATGGCGTCTGCTGATAAGAGACTCCCTTCCCTGGAAAGAAACACAGAGACAGAAAGTGGAAGTATGAAGGAGAGACCCTGGAACGTGTGCCCATCCGGGAAAACAGCAGAGGGGGCTCTTGACTCCCCCTGGGGCACTCACAGATGCGTCAGGCACCCCGGACAGACAGACAGACAGACCCTTATCGCTGATCACAAGAGCTGCGTAAGAGGCCTGGGGCAGGGTCTCACCTTCCTGGCTGTAGCTCTCTGACATCTCTCGGCAGCAGTTGATGGTTACAATGAGGAATCTTTAAAAAGTAAGTAGCAATGAGAAAACGCCCAGTTCTCAGTTTCTATTAACTATTTACAGATTTTTAGAAATTTAAGGGACTCGAGAATCGGAAGCAACACCTCTATTCGGAAGGCCAGAGGAGAAATGAGGCTGGCCACCCCTGGCCGCTGAAGGCCTAGGGCGAGGCTTGAGGCCGCGCAGCCCCCTGAGCACGATGGGGACAAATGTCCACAGGGGAGCAGGCGAGGGGACAGCAGGTAAACCCTGAGGGGACAGTGCCTCTGCAGGGGCTGCCGGCCTGGGAGGATGTCCTGCTGGGGCCACAGCACCTTCTCTCCACCCGGCAGTGGATGGAGAAAGGGTCAACCCACTGACCATGAGTGCGGGGACAGGCAGGGTGCCCAGGATGGGTGTCATGTGACCTGCTGTGACCGATGCGGGGCCGGCCCAGGTGGGGCATCTCTTTCCCACGTGGGTGACCAGGAGGGATGTGAGGAGAGGCCCAAGTTGAAGGGAGCCCCTGTGGCACCTCTTCTCCCCTGTGAAGAACAGACTTCTGGAGAACCAAAGCTGCAGGTCCCTAGGTCAAGGACGGCAGGGGGGCACTGGAACATGTCCCCTGGTGGCAAGGTCACACCAGACCAAACAGGGCTCTCCTCCCTTCCATTCAGTTCCATCTTCAGCTAAAGGACTCCTTAAGACTGCCACTAATGTTCTAGAAGGAATATAGCCTCTGTGACCTGGAGTTCTTCCTGGGGGACAAAGGACGCCTGGAGCCCCCAGAAGCTGGCAGAGGCAGGAAGGAGTCCCTAGATCTGCACCTGGACCTCAGACTCCGGCCCCAGAGCCCCCAGAGCTGTGAGAGGGCAAATCTCCGCCGTGCTGAGTACCCCCAGTGTTGTGCGGGCCCCAGGACACTCCACAACAAGAAGTTATACTTCACAGTAGAAAGTGCTTTAGCAAATCCAAGTGGCATTCCTAGGAAAGAGAAACAAATAAACCGGAATATGGAATGTATTATGAAGTAAAGCATGCATGTTTGGGTGGTAAATATACTGAAAATATAATCAAATGTAAACTGAACGCTAGAAAAACTGCTCTCACACGTTGTCTGTCTCTTCCATGGCCCTCCCCACTGGCAAAACCCACCCAAAGTGTAAACAGGAATGCCAGATTATGCCCCAGATGTTTGTAATTCTCTTCGTAAGCATCTAGATTCAAAATACATTACGTACAATTATGTCTTCAGTTGCCCTGTGAAAATTACTGCAACGCAGAATAATCTCCTGGACAGAGAACTCACAGCTTTGATAGGAACTATCTAGGCAAATATTAAATCTGGAAAAAAGTATCAATTACAGGGCTCCATAACATTGGTCTGCCAAGGAGTCGGAGGTGGGAGCGGCTGCCCTTTGCTGGAGAACCACCTCTTTAAAGCAAGTGCTTGGAGAACAGGGCAGTCGTCCCAGCTGTTGCGGATCAGATTGGGCCAGATGCGGGAGGTCCCAGCCAGGAGGGCTGGCGCCCAGCTGGGGGGCGAGGCGGGAGACAGCCGGTGCTCACCCTGTTCACTCCCAGCGATGCGCGTGTTCTCAGGTCTTCCTTCCCCCCCAGGGCCCCGGCCTCTTCTGGGAGTGTTCTCATGCTGTTGGCCAAACAGAGGAACTGGATGAGGCTGTGCCAGGCAGGGCACAGGCGAGTCAGTGGTAATGGGCTGGCTTCATGTAAGCAGGCTGGCAGGTGCCAGACGAAGTTCCCTACCCTGGCATGAGGATCTGGCGCTCCCTGAGCAGAGGCTGAGCTCTGTCCTGGGCTGGCAGTAAGAAGCCATAACAGACACAGACACCTTGCAGAGTACCCCGTCCCCAGTGGAGACACACAAGGTATTCTGAGACCCCGTGAAGCATTTCTCTCTGTGGCCTGTGTTGTTAACACACTAGATGTAATTTTCCTCTTACAGACAGGAAGTTGGGCTTTAGTAGGGAACACACGTAATGCCTACGCCCTCCATCCCTGGCTCAAACCCCAGTCTGCGCCCCGGAGGTGAGAACGTGCCCCCTCCCACCTAGGAGAGGGAGTCAGGGAGGAGCCTGGCACTCATTTCGAGCCACTTCTCCCATCCTCTGCCTAAAGACATGTGAGCTACCGACGGGCTGTGCCGGTTTCCTAGGGCTGCCAGAAATAGATGGCTCCAGCAAGGGACACCCACGTCCTCACCGTCTGGGGGCTGGGGGGGGGGGGCCCTCCCAGGCCTCTTCCGGCACCTGGGTGTGACTGCAGTTGTCAGCACGTGTTGGCTCGCAGCTACGTGGCGCCAATTTCAGCCTCTTCCCATCAGGTGGCCAACCCTCTGTCTTCTCCCCTCCCCTTCTCCACTAAGGACGACACTCGTCATGGATTCAAGGTCCACTCTAGATCCAGGGTGATCTCATCTTAGGGTCCTTAACTGCACCTGCAAAGGTTCTCCAAATAGGGTCACAGTCGCAGTTCTGCGTGGGCATGTCTCTGGGGGTCACCATTGGACCCATTCCAGGGGGTGGTACAGCTTTGAGTTTCTGGAGTTAAGATACAGTGGCGAGGAGCGCCCTCAGCAGCACCCCCAGCCTACTACTGTCTGTCGCAGAAGGACCTGGAGTGACATAGGAACTGCGGGAGGCCCCAGATCAAAGGAAGGGCTGAGGCTCTCACTTCCCTGAGTGCCCGCTTTGGTGACCACAGGTGCCCGTGTGCAGAGGTAACACCCGGACTGCTGGGGCGAGGCTCTCCAGCAGCAGGGTTCTTTCTGAGTCTGTGGGCTGCAATGAACAGCCCCAGGTCTGTGAGTCTGTGATTAGATCCTGGCCCCTGTCCCAAACCACGGGCCACCAGCCTGAGACCCCCCCACATACGGAAACTGAGTTACTCCGACTCTACCAGCAGGGCATGCATGGGCAAATTCGGACCCCAGGGCCCCAGGGCAGAAAGGGTGCCGCCTTGCAGGGTGGGTCAGCAGCCCACGGGTGCAGATGGGAGGAGAGGATGGGAGGGGCGGGAAGGGGTGCTGCCTGGACTGTGGGTGTCTGGGTGCAAGGGGAAAACAGGACACAGGGCAGTGAGAGGGACCAGAGGGTTGTCTGAGGAGCCCCTAGGCCATCCCTCTTGTCTCCGGGGCCACTCATGTTGGAGGGCCACAGCCCAGCTGCCCTGTGCCAGAAAGGCCAGACTTCGTCCCTCGAGGGGATGGTCTGTGTGTCCAGGGAGGGGGGCTGTGTGTCCTGGGGGCTGTGTGTCCTGTGTGTCCTGGGGGGGCTGTGTGTCCTGGGGGAGGTGTCCTGGGGGGGTGTGT